TTTGGGAAATAAGTGGTACGTAGTAAACACTCAAAATTTTACCATGAGAAAGTAACTACATTTTAGATCTAAAATTTAATTCTAGAACTCTAAAATTTAATTCACCGCGGAGTTATTGGCAAATACGATTACACATTAGTAATACTGTGTATAGAAAAAAGATGCATTCCAATAGATGTATAGAAAAAACATCGGTATACTTTAATGGTGAATTGCGCCATCATCTATCATAGTTAGGTACGGTGGGAAAATTCTTGTTTCAGAGAGCAAATGGCACCTGTGATAGTAAGCAAATGGTCGTCGAGTTTTAGAACGTCCAATTTATGCACGACACCAAGACAGCAAGCTTCGGGTCTCGCGCCTACGTCACAGCGACCGGGTGGATCCAGCCACAGTCAAACGTGTGCCTTCACATGTCAGTGGAATCAGACAAGATTGGCTACATTTCCACGCAAGCTTCAATAAGAACAAATTTAAGCCGCCAAAGATTAGTCAGTTGTTACCATCCGCCAAGTGTCACATCTCTAACAAGATGGAGGACTGTTCATGCTTGATTTTGAATGTGGTCTCTTTTACACAAGACAAACAAAAAGATCGATAAGAACCCGCGTACCGCAATTAATAAAATTAAATCCAAATCCAAGCATTAGGGATATGCTTGGATTTGGATTTAATTTTGAGATCAGACCAAAAAATATACATTTAAGTCGCAGTTAGTCTTCGTAACGTCGTTTGGACTTCAAACACTCAGTCAATCTATGAACAAAATAACATTTAAGGGGAAATATAATGTCAAATGGCTTAGCAAGATCCTTCGTTATGCCGAAAATATTGCAGCATTAATTTTGAAATAAATATACGGTAAAGTTGAGGATTAATGTTAATGATTATGTTAGACGAAAACACGATTTCGTAAAATTTTCTCGATAGAAAAAAAATCCAAAGTTACCTCCAAAATAAACAATAAACCGCTGTTATTCATAAAATACTTTAAATAAGATCATGAAACTTTGCATACTAACTGAACTAACTATAAAGCAGTGCTTATGTTATTTACTTTTTTTTAAATACCATTATTTTCACTGTAAAAAGAAATTACCTAAACTATCGGCGTCTTGAGCTTGATTCCTGTCGCCCCGTTAGTATCGCTTAGGTTTTGAAGGGAGAAGTTGTGTCGCTTACGATCGGAATATACATTACGCAACAGTACGACGTAAAATTAAAATGGGAAATAGGCATAAATATGATAAACCTAATGAAATAAGTGTCTAACGACCTTTCTACTTACAGTATTAGTGATTACAAACATATCGGTACATAGCATACGACGCGCGGGGAAGTGGGGGCGAAATTAGAATTTGAGCTGATTTACTCTATCCTCTTAATAATTCTCGGGCGTGTTTTCCGAACCACAGCTGAAAAAAAAACTTTTGAGTTTATTACACTGTTACTCATAAATCACCATTTTAACAATCTAGAACTAATACTGAAAATGTGTAGCGTGATTATACAACTGAAATACAATGCACTATATGCCTATATGAAACTGATATCAGCAAATAACGCCCACATACGTACGTCCAGTTTCCAATTGCCGTTCCCAACAAGGCGCTGACACAGCTGGCCTCGCTCCGTTGAAATCACAATACGTGCAATCGTTTTGTTTTAGAATTCAAAAAATGAAACAGCAATCTCCCTGTGCATACTGTGCGTGAATCTTTCACTATTTGTGTAATACAGGAAAAGTAGTCGAAACCACAAATCGCGAGGACTTAAACTTTTCTTACACAGTTGCTAGATATGTAATGTAATGTTTCAGATTTTTACAAACGAGCAAACAGCAATAAAATAATAGTAATCGAAAGCTGTAATCAATAGATACCTATCCCAGATTAAGAACGAAAATGTAAATGCATTGTCAACTCTGAGGTTTATGAAGTCTCGTTACTAGTATAATGTGTATCCAGATATAATGTGATCCTTTGTGACAAACATAAAACATATACAACAGCAACGGGGTAAATAGTACAACTTGGCTCAATAGTAGTCAATCTTAGTTTACGACCTTAGGGGTCCAGGGTTCGAAACCCAGTCGGTGACTCTTCCCTGGAATTGTAGCCTTGGCAACTTTATAAACGCTAAGTTGGATACGGGTAGACTGGGATGAGTTTTAGTATTTGTTCGTGCTTATGTTGGTACTATCAAATCTGATAAGTTGGCAGTTTCATAAATAAATAAGGAAAGCTGACACTGACGATAAAAACATGTCAGAAGAAAATCCATCCAAAAGATTGACATCAAAGCGTATTGAAAGTAGCAGAATGACATATTGGCAAAGATTTGCTGATGCAAAGATCTCGGTGTCTGCACCAACTTCCAAAAACACATACACTGATTTACACTAAACTACTTTTAATTGTAATGAATCTAAACCCCTCTAAGAGGCAATCTGCACCAACCACAGCGTGTTGTGTGTAGCCAACTTTTACAAAAAAATCGAATTAAATGATTTGGGTATTGGTGTTTTCAAAAAATGAATGAATAGACTTTTCGTTTAGCTAAGTCAGTGCGTTTTATCACCACTTACCATCAGATGGGATAATAGAAGAGTTGGAAAAAAATATTGCAAGCCTGCCAGCGCATATTGAAAAGTCAAGCATTAGACATATAAAGGCCATGTCCATACCATAATATTTATACAACTGTTTCAAACACATAGTCACATCAATGATTATTCATGTGGACTCGTTTGTCACCCTCGCTATTAAAATAAAGTAACAATTCCAGGTAGCGATTTTAATGTTATTGTTGGACGAGTAGACTGTAAAACCCTTTACATTAAAATATATTCAAATGTCTACCTCCACCAGTAAAACCTAAACCCGGTCTAATATAAATACACATAAAACAAACAGACAAACGAACTCAATTAAACGGAATATCGGACTTACGCCAGTTTATTTAAGCGTTCGACCATCAAAGTAAACATTTCTATTTCAAAGTAATTAATTACCTACTTTATTAGGTTCGCTAAAGTCGTGGCTCGAGTGAAAGCGGAATGAAATCTCTTTTTACTAGTCAGGTACAGATGAACCTCTATTAAGAGTAAATTTTTTTCAATCATCAGATAGTCAAAATTTTACATTAAAAAATCAATGTTTTGGCAACATAAGACTCATTTAATTTATTCATAAAATAAATAATAAGCTGAAATTAAATTCGGTGCTAAGACATAATGCATAAAATAATTTAAGTCGCAACTTCTGAATGAGAAATTATTTTCTTCTTTCAGTTCTTTGAAGTCGGCTTATACTTTTTTTAGGTTAATCTTTTTAACACTTTTATACGGACAAAAAATCACCATCTCAATGGCGTCTAAATAGTTACATTAAAAACATCATCCCCTACATTACCACCCTCAAGGTGTTCGATCAGGGTTTTCCAAATGAAGCCTGAAGTATAACGTAATTATTATAAAAATAATCAGTTCAAAATTGAAGCAGATATCGCGTAACATAAAGGCAAAATAATACACAGTTGAATTGCCAGCCGCTGACACTCAGACCTGCATGAAATTTCATTGTGTCGGGATCGTACGCCCTAAGCCCCAAAACCTCCAAAACGTCTGATTATTTCTGGTTGAATATTGTGATTTATTTTAAATTGCTAAGGTCTTACTCCAATAAGTATGTAAAAATGTGTTCTCTCTGAAATATTAAACATGATATAAACTAAACAACAGGGGCGGGCTCTTTTCCAACCGAAGAGTTCGTCTCGAATAGTACCACTCTTTTGATACCTTTTTCAAGAGATGATTTTGTAAAAGATCTAGCAAGAGAGAGGCTAAGAAACATTTTATCATAGTACAAAGCACGTATTTATGGCCTCCTTTGCATACCATTACGTGGACTGTTGTCTCGTTTATCACTAATACTGTTAAAAAAAATACTGCCGCAAGTTTTGCGCGTTAAATTGCATTACATGTAAATAAATTTGAAATAAAATTAGTTAAATAAACGTAACAGTTTAATAACCCTTACACCGCCGCTGCGGCGAGGCGGGTATCGGAGCATAAAGAGACGGGGTTCAGATTGGCCTCGAACAAAGTGGGGAGCATCGCTAACATCTCTTCGCTCGCGGCACAAACGCACCCCTATATAAAAGCTAGGTGGTGATCTAGGGTTGAATATTACCCAGAAATTTTCGGATCTGATTATTAATGTAGAGATCTAGCAAAATTTATTTATCCAATTTTAAGAATATACTAAGTTTTCCATTTTTATAAAATCCTTCAAAAAAGAACCATAAAGTCTTAATAAATTATAGTTGTAAAAAGAGCTAATTTAGTTGTAAAAAATGAAAGTTTCGTGTACGGTTTTAATAGGTATAATCTAATATATATATATATATATATATATATATATATATATTGTGTGTGTGTTTTTACATATAAATTACGTTCACTCCGCGATGGACTACTGAACCGATTTTAATCAAATTTGCACACCGTGTTCAATTTGATCCAACTTGAGAGATAGGATAGTTTTTTTACCCGTGAGTGACACAATTGCTTTTTTTTCCAAACTTAAGGATTTTTAATAGGACGTGACAAAGGGTAGTCGGAAAGGGCAGAACAACGTCTGCCTGGCAAGCTAGTTAATTATAAATTAAGAACTATACTAAAAATAATCCAATCAATAATTATAAAATCTATTTCACACACTTATAATCCATAAAGTCCTCTGCTAAACAAAGGCCTCCCACATAAATTGATATACACATGATGGATTTTGCCATAGTTGCCACACTTGGTAGACAGGTTGGCAACTGCAGTTCATATTATTATTTTGTTCTGTTACGAGGAAGATGCTGCTGCCCATCTTCTGCTTCAGTTTTCCTCTGACGCCTCCTACGACAACTACGAGATGGGGTGGTGGACATTCTTACGACATGTGGTGGTGGACATTCTTACGACATGTGGTGGTGGACATTGTTACGACATGGGGTGGTGGACATTCTTACGACATGTGGTGGTGGACATTCTTACGACATGTGGTGGTGGACATTCTTACGACATGTGGTGGTGGACATTCTTACGACATGTGGTGGTGGACATTCTTACGACATGTGGTGGTGGACATTCTTACGACATGTGGTGGTGGACATTCTTACGACATGTGGTGGTGGACATTCTTACGACATGTGGTGGTGGACATTCTTACGACATGGGGTGGTGGACATTCTTACGACATGGGGTGGTGGACATTCTTACGACATGGGGTGGTGGACATTCTTACGACATGTGGTGGTGGACATTCTTACGACATGTGGTGGTGGACATTCTTACGACATGGGGTGGTGGACATTCTTACGACATGGGGTGGTGGACATTCTTACGACATGTGGTGGTGGACATTCTTACGACATGGGGTGGTGGACATTCTTACGACATGTGGTGGTGGACATTCTTACGACATGGGGTGGTGGACATTCTTACGACATGGGGTGGTGGACATTCTTACGACATGGGGTGGTGGACATTCTTACGACATGGGGTGGTGGACATTCTTACGACATGGGGTGGTGGACATTCTTACACCGCCACTACACGGTGAAATTATAAAACGAATCATATATTAAAAGAAAAATACTAAACAAATTAAACCTTTAATTCTACTCAATAAAAAAACCATAAAATGCTTAAATAAAACTATAAAACGAAACAGCCCTGTTTCAAACATTAAAAATTCTCTAAGAGGAATCATTGTTACGTGCTCGGATCTAAACTGATAAGACGTGACAGTGTAGTGAATAATTAAATAACCAGGCGTTGTGCTCGTCCCAAAGAAATATCTGCTATTTAATATTCATATTTAAAATTCCATTTAAGTCGAGAAGCGTTCTTTTAAGATGTGTTTACGTCGGGCTTTCAACAAAGTGCAGGGTTAACGCAGTCTGTTGTCATCAATTTCTACCAAATTTATTTCTCAGATACGAGAATTGTTGTGCTAATTAGGTTCAAAACAAATCGGAACATGAACAAAGTAATGGATCGGACTAGAAAAATGTAATAATTAAAGCATTGAAATAAAAGTATTTAAAGTAAAAAAAAAGTTAAATAAGTAAAAAAACGTATAATTTAAAGAAGCCATGTACTTGTAGCATCGCCTTCATGTGATGCACAAGTTTTAGACGACGCAACGTGTTACATATTATAGATATGTGATAGAGATGTGTACGTATTTTTTCTTTATTTATATAGAAATATTGAAGTAATTGATAGTTATGTCTATAAAATTTGCAGTCACAGTTGCCGCAACTAGATTATTTGTTCAGCCAACGTTCTCATTATCAGACTTATATGAAAGTGTCATAGAGTACAAACTACTATCGTGCAGGTCCCCAAAATACAACGTTGAAGACGGCGAGAGATCTGTCAAACTTGTCATCACTCTAGACAGGTTTTTTTTTATAAAATAAGGGTGGTAAACGAGCACACAGTCCACCTGACGGTAAGTGGATGCTGTGACCCATAAACATATACTTTCGACGTTTAAGAATGAAAATGCAGATGCGTTGCCACCCCTGAGAACTACGATGAAATGTCTCGTTTCCAGTAAAAATAGTCTCCGGTTCTGTACACTCACCATACGAAACAGAACACAGCATTGAGCTGCTATTCGACGCTGGTAGAGCGTGATCCTTCCCGGTCGAGCCTATCCATTCGTGCTTCAACCATAACATAGCTGCAGCATTGCTCTACCACGTAAAAAGCTACTATTTTTTTTATTAAAAATTATCGAAATAAAGATCACAAAGAGTGAACTTAATGCCTGTTGACATTTTCTAACAGTCAGCGATGGGTGTGAAATTGTGTTAGGTATAACAAAAGAAATTATACATAAATTACATAATACATAAACACTCACACCTGTCACCCAGAGGGGTAGGCAGAGATCACGGACTTCCATTTGGCACGATCCCGACATACCTCTTTCGCCTCCTTTACATCCATATATCTACGCATATTGTATAATAAGGTATTAAAATTATGTAATTGTTTTACTACGCCATTAATTAAATAAATTATTTATATTTATATTTTATTTAAATTACTTTATTAGAGTTTATGCCATAGATTTAGTATAAACTGAACTATATGGTTTATGCAACCGCACCTGAACCGGACCGTAATGTTTTGTTGAAAGGGGTTTTTGGTTTTCACAACTCAATATAGAATCATATTATAGAAAACATTTAACATTTTTTAAATCTTATAACTTAATATGTTCTTATATACATAAAGTAAATATGTAAAAAGTAATAATGATTTTATTTTTGTTTGAATGTTAAATTAAATTTTTAAAAAAATTACCGAAATTACCATTTGAAACTCTTTGTCGCTTTAAAAGCCCTGTTCAAACATAGTTTAATCATAAGTTTAGTGATGATATAACCCTTTTTTCATAATCATAGCTGCTTACACATTTCATAGCAGCACCCTAATTTAAAATTTGCCGCCTTAGTGGTTTTGAGCTCTTGGGTTAGGGCCACCATACCCCCCCCCCCCCAACCCCGAGGGATCGATGACTCGGAAGTGGTCTCGAAACATCGTGGTAGCACTGCGAGGGTGCTGGGAGTAGCAAGTATTGGGACGTGCTATTAGTGTAGCAAAGCGTTGAGGGACTCCGGTTGCGTTCCGAACGGAGATCCCGGGGTAGGAGTCCGGCAAAACCTTCTCGTTGCCCCACAACAAATGGTATCCAGGAGGATTTCCCAACGAAAAAAAGGCCAACATACACTCAAAATATAATTCAATAATTATTTTATGAGTATTTTCTAAGTTTATCACGTAGAGAAACCCCGATCATAGTAGCCCTCTCCAAAGCTAAAGGCCAGCAGTGAGGGACCATGTCTCAGATCTATGTCAGGATTGGACTTCTGAAAGGCTGTAATAAAGATAATGATAATGATGATGATGACTGAATTACTATATAGTATAGTCTACAATTTCTACAAATGGCTTCAAGACTTAAAATTAAATAAGAGCATCTTACCATATTCCTTCTTTACTTCCTTATTTACTTTCACTGGTCAAGAATAAAAAGAATCGTGTAATATACAAAAAATGGCGGCGCGGCAACGGTGCGGCGCTAAAGTGGCTGCGGTGCGGTAGCGATGCGGCCCGTATACGAATTTTGTTAGTATGCACTAACCTACCAATTCACCTATCCGACCAATCCCATCTGGAGGTGACACGTACTGGTGGGATTGAACAAGTGCGTGAAAACGCAGATATTGGGGACTTGAGCAAGCAGGATATGCAGGCATAATGTGAGCCAACGTTATAAATGCATGGCAGGAACGATGGAAGAACGAGATGAATGGCAGAGAACTGTTCTGTTTATTCCTGGACATGGCGACACGACTCAATGCAAATTAGGTTGCGCCGGACTATCAAGTCTAACAGATCCTCAGTGAGGATGGATGTTTCCAGAAGAGATTGTTTGATATGAATTTGGCTGAATCATGTATGTGTGATTGTGGTGCGGGCTATGGTGTGATGTGGAGTACGTGCTGTATGATTACCTGCGGTGTAAGATGTGGTACACGGAGGGTGGGCCCGATTTATTATCCGGACCTTGTAGACGGTAAAGATAACTTTAGCCAGAACCGTGAGTTTGCATGGGTGGCATGCACAGGGAACTGCCACGGAGAGGTAAAATATATACTTAACAAGAGATCTGTCTGTACAAAGGCGTTATGTGCTTTTCATGCCTAGAAAAGGAGAGTGGCAATATGGGACAAGGAGGCGAATAAATAATTTGTGAAGAGTCAAGAAAATATACGTGGGAAAGATCCTTTTGCAAGTACCGCGTGCATCTCTCGAGATTTGGCCGAGTACGAGTATAACCGCAAGGTTCGTGGGGCCATGGGAGGTGGAGGATTTTCTCTTCTCACCTATTCACCTGCTGCTTCCGTATGGAATGCGGCCAATCTTTTAAGAAATTTATCTTATTCAAATTATAGCATTATTACACAAATATTGTGGGAATATGTCCATATGTTGTCAATAGTACCTCAAGACACGAGATACGAAATAAAGAAACTTTCAAAATTGAAATTGTAGCGACCAAAATAAGACTAAGTAAAAATATAATTTTAGTCCATCGCTCCGCGTTTTCAAGCTTGGCGGAGAAAATCTCAAATTATCGAGACAATGTATCTCTTGTGAAGTGAAATACAAGATGCTGCCTGTTTGTAAAGATAATTCAAGATGTGAACACGACGGGTTAGTTCATTTGATTCGTCGACAATCCCGGTGGGTAATGAACAATAAGCGAAGCGCGAAGTCGCTTAACTTTTAACGTGAAGTTTTACACCATTGATAACTCTATATCTTCGTAGCGGCAACGCAGGCAGCCGGTTTGATCTGGTTATAACTAACCAAAGGCAATTAAAACTGGTAACTAACTCCGGTTTTCGCCGGTGTTTGTTAGCCGAGTTCGGGGGCACCTTTTGTTAATGTGTTACTTTCGGAAAGTTGTATTAGTTTTCGTGCAGCGTCGCAGCCTGTTAGTTTGAAAACTAATATTTTTTTATTCATTATGCGCGCTCTGATGCAAACTTCTCAAAATTTTGAGCAAAAAATAGCACAATATGAATGTGACGGTCGAAATTCAACTTAAATGAGGTCAAAAATGTCGATTTTCGTATTAAAAATTTCATTCGGGTCTAAAAATATAACTCGGAGATTTATCTTATAAAACTGAAAACACTAAAAAGCTTATAAGTAATCGGATACTGCAGTTCATGCTTACCTGCAACTAACTTCCATCACAGAAATTCCAGATGCGTTGCCACCTCTGAGGACTAAGATGGAATGCCTCACGGTATGTAATTATACAAACTCTCTCTGTGCTATGTTTAGATTGGATCTATTCCGATATAGCAGTGCAAGTACAGCTTTAACTGCCCTTTTATTATTACCAGTTCAGAATGAAAAACTCGGCTTGAACCGGGGAAGAACTTCGATCGCAGAAAATACCAAAACACGTTCAATCAACTATTAAAAATATTATTTAATCATCGTAATATAATTCAGGTTATTGTTTTAAAATAATTCTCTAATGATTTACTAGTTACGGAGAGTTCCAACTTAGTCCTCAGGGGTGACAGTGCATCGGCGTTTTGATTTTTATTTGAGATTAGTATAGCTTGAAGATGTCTATTGACAGTATCCACTTACCATTTGGCGGACTGTGGGCCTTTTTGTCGTCCATATTTTTGTAATTATTCACTCTAATGGAAAGTTTAAAAAGAATATTTTGAATTGTAAATCAAAAGAAAATTATGCTCGTATTTATTATGTATTTCGGTCATAAATTTTGCTGTGGCAGTTTGCAGGCTGTAATGCGGATAGACGAACGGAATGAAATTTTAATCCTTTCTCATAAGACTTAAAAATCATTTGATCGTTAAAGTTTTCTAACAAAATAACTTTTAAAAACTGATAGCTATTTTCGTCCATCAAAATATTTTACAAACTAGTTACGATCATCTTTTAGCTTATTTATTATCTTTTTATACTTTTAAGCTAAATTATTCGATAAAA